ACTCCAATCACAATCAGTCTCACCCGAACACAGACACATAGAGCTTACCTCTCCCCTCTCCTCTCCTCATCCCAAATGACCCTTTGACCCAGCGTGAAAATGTGTCCCCACTAGCAACAAACCCTTATATGATCTGTACAGGCACGATTATGAATCATTCGAAAACAATTGTTCGCCTTCGGACTTGTGTTCTGATGTTACAATGGGATTATTTCGGAATTATATTTAACTAATGCATGGCTTCAGATCATTGTGTTTGATGCGTTTTTACGTTTGTAGTTGTATCACATTTCATTCTTTTTGTTCTGTTTGTGCGGCCTCATAGCTCAGCTAGTAGATCATGGGTTGTTCAGCATCGTGGACGGTGTCCTTACGTAGATTCAAATCCCAACGAGACTACTGATCTTTTCGCACTCCAAACATATGGATCCTGTCTTTCGTTTGTGCTATGCAACAACAATGTTCAGATTGTTTTGCGCTAATACTAAACCTAGTTGGCTATTTTGCTGATGCTACAGATTGGTCAGTCATAGTGAGAGTATATTATACTCGCGTATTACCTAATACTTGTTGATGCATATTCTGAATAGCCTGAAGTTATTCCGATGCGTGTTATAACTACATCTGCTGTAATGACAAACCTCAGTAGATTATTTGCTCAGTTCCGCATGCCTGAATTCCTGGTTTCAGTTTACATCTTCATAATTCGCTGTGTTATGTTCGTCAAATAGCATCTGCCACGTCCGTACTCCAGTGTATCACCCGCAATCGAACGGTTAATTAGGACCATTCGACGACTCGTTCAAACGTTATCTGATCAAGCCACACGGATAGGGTAAATTACACCGGTCCATTGATGCATTTCTCCTCACTTACCGCTCGACTCCCAACTTAGGTACCCCAGAATAGAAGTCCCCGGGCGAACTGCTTCGAGGTGGACGAATGTGGCTAGTTCTCGACACCACCGCTAAAAATACTAATGTCAGATTGATAAATTTTAAGGTAATTGGTCATGTTTACATACGTCATGTTCGCAATGGTTTGCTGAACTGGATTCCCGGTGAGATTATAAAATGAGATGGATCGGACACATATAAAGTCAGAGTGTGATATTTCACAAGGGCTAGATATATCAACCACCAAAGAACTAGGACCGGAATACAGACTCAAAGAAACGCTTCTCTTATTGCATACCCATGCATATACTGATGGACCACCGGATTACGAACACAAGTCCGGCAGATTTCAGTACCGACATCGAAGCACTTGATCAACCTGACCGGCGACACTCAGCCCTAACCCGACCTCCAATACACCGACTGATCATCAACCCCAAGCATCGCTCAATATTAATCCAACTAAATCAATTCAGTGAAAAAGGAGATGTACCAATCAGTTTCAATTCTGGTTTCCATATCTGGACATCGGTTTCACCAATCGCATACCCAGTACTTAATGAAAAATAAGTATTACAAACTATTAAGTTGCACAGTTCACCCGTATAAACTTTGTACTGTAATAACCCGATGACAAAGCCCATCAATCTTGTTCAATGAAACAACTGAAACAGTGTTTGTCCTATGCTACATACAGCTAACTGAAAGGAATATATTTGATCATGACGAGAGGTAAACAGGAGCGACATGAACCAGGGTAGCAACAAAAAAGTGAAAAACTGTGACGGTTCGTTCAGTGTCGAGATGAGCGAGGAGAAATGACCGCCACAGCCTCTCAAAGATGGGTTGTACTATCTCGCCTAAATGGAAAACGAGAAACGGTCTGATCATCTTCCCGGTGAGCGATCCCCAGTTAGGTCGATGGACTAGCACCGTTGATGAGACCCAACCAGGTCGAAACAACTGTGCAGTGCTTCCTAGTTTTTCAGTTCACGCTTCATTTTTTCCAAACGCGATGAATTCCCCCTTTGAAACAAGATAATGATATCTTAACTTATTGTCTTTTCCTGCAGAATTAAATAAGATATAAGATTGGAATTAATGTGGAACGATTGTTGTTCGGAATGCGGATGTTTGTTTTGTTGTGTTCTTCAAAGCTGGAAGTGTTGTTCGCAAACGTTTCGTATCCACGCTAGGCAATATCATCAATGCAACTTCGGGGAACTGCAGTCCTCTGTGTGATCGGGCTTATATAGTTCTGTTCGAGGGTTTTGACCGGCTATTTGCGTCCCTCCAATCCTATTGGTCAATTGCGATCATTTGCTGTGATATGATTGGCTGCTTCGTTGTCATTATGAGCCTCTTACGAACAACACTTCCAGCTCAGAGAACACACCAAAACCAACAGGATTTAGGTGTTCGCCTGTTACGCTACATGAAACGACACCGATTGTTGAGAATAACGCTCCTGTTTGGTGTATATTTTCGATCGCAGTTACCATTGTTCCACTCTGCGTTCTTTATCTGGTTTTCCTTGTAATTGTAATAATACGGATAAGGTTGTAGATCCACTTTCTGCTGAATTGAAATTTCTCCACAAGAAGTCATTGGCTTAAATCAATCTGGACTTCATTCGGCGGAGCGAATATCAGCACAAAATTCCGTTTACGACCGAATGTCATGGGAAGTGAACTGTAGAAATGATGGGAACAAAAGGGTTAACATTCGTCAAGGGCATCGAGACGGTAGTTTATAGTTATAGCCGTCGTGTTGCACAGCAAGTAAGTGAGGTAAGCAGTGATATACCTGTGTATGCATGTGTGTTCGACTTGGCAGTTTGAAAATGGGCTTGTCAACATCACATCATTCAACAATGATGTTTGGCAACCGGGCATGTTGCATCCTCACCTTAATCGGATCATACTTTGGGGCTTGAAAACAGTCTAGCCAACACATTCGTTAAGTCCGTCTTCATGTTAGAGCAATGGGGATGGTAACTGGCACCTTCTGTGATGTGGCGGTTATTGAAAGAAGCAGCATTGAAGAGTTTGTTTTCACAACATCTACTGGGATAATGAACCGTTGGTTTCGAAATTAATGCCCTTATAGAGGCTTCTCTTTTTACGCTCCATCACG